TCCAGGTGCGTGGGCCAAAAGAGTCCCCGGGGTACAACCACCTGCATTTATGGTTCCGGCTGGACCAAGTCAATGAATTGGTGGAGGGGGGATTTAGCACTGTTTTAATCATCGTTTGTAAATTTATATTTTTATAGGTGGGTATTTTAATGGAGGGTTTTAACATAGTTTTATTAGCTAATGTTAGTGGTACACCACTGGAGTTTTAATTGGTTTTACCCAGTAGTATATAAGGCGCCCATGTTCATCATTTCACTGTCCTGCTGCCGGAGAACACATGCTCCTGTCCTCCATTCACTGTGTAACTTATTTTAATAAAATTAAAATAAGTGGACCAAGCCTGCCACCGTCAACCTTTTGTTTGTTCTTTCTCACTGCCATCCATCTGCTCAAGGCCTGTCCTGCTAACATTCAGCCACACTCGGCCTCATTCAGCCACACTCGGCCTCATTCAGCCACACTCAGGCACATTCGGCCTCATTCAGCCTCACTCGGCCTCACTCGGCCACATTCAGCCACACTCAGCCACGACGAGTCTGAGAAGTGGTGAAAGCTCAGAGTAAACAGTGGAGTCTGCAGCAGTGTATAAAGTCCTGTTACATCAGAGTCCTCAGACGCCCCGTGACTCTGCCTATCAAAAGTCTGTGTCATTCTGGATTTCAATTCAATTTATTTGTGTATCGCCCTGAAGAAACAACAACAGTTCTCTCAGAGGACTTTACAATTCTGTCAATTCACCAACAACAGATCAGAGAATCAAACAGTTCAAACAAATGAAATGTTAAAATTCATAAATGTCCTCTCCTTAGAGCCTCCTCTCACGTTATGAAGCAAATATAAAATATTGTGTGTAGGTGTGTGTGTGTGTCTGTAGGTGTGTGTGTGTGTGTCTGTAGGTGTGTGTGTGTGTGTCTGTAGGTGTGTGTGTGTGTGTCCTACTGACCTGCTCTCACCTCCTGCTTGTTTGCACACACCCAGTCACATGACCTCCGTCTCAAGTTCTCTTTCATCTCTGCACAGTGGAAAGAAAAGACCCTTCCCCTCTAGACCTGGTCACAGGTCTGGTCCCAGGTCTGGTCCCAGCTCTGGTCCCAGGTCTGACCCTGGTATGATCCCAGGTCTGGTCCCAGGTCAGGCATTGGTCTGGCCCTGGTCCCAGGTCTGGCCTTTGTCCAAGATCTGTTCCCAGGTCTGGCCCTGGTCCCGAGTCTGATCCTAGGTCTGGCCCTGGTCCCAGGTCTGGCCTTGGGCCTCTTGCAGAGCAGGAGGGGGAAGGGTCACTATTCAGGTCTTGTCAGCAGATAACCGCTTGTTTCCATGCTGTTTTTAGAAGCTTACATGATTTGGCGAGACATTCAAAGACAGTCCATAGTTCAGTCTCACAGAAATGTTCTGCAGCAGAACATTCTGGGCTTAAAGGAGACAAACAGGTGATATCTGTGATGTCACAATCAAGTATCCCTGCAGGCTCTGCTCAGACCGCACATTAGACAAGTGCCCTTCTAATCAGGCAAAGGGTCAGGATGAAGGTCTGACCAAAGGGTAGACACTACAGACATACATTCACTTCAATACGCTTCTTTTCCAATTCAATATAAATAAATAAATACAGTATAAATAAAGAGTATAGAGTTTGAATTCAGTGTATTTTATTACATAGCTCCTCGCAGCAGTAGAACGCTCTGTTGATTTGAATAATTTAAAATCGTTCTACGGTCTAGCTAAGCTGTCACTCTCCTACAGTGGGGCAAAAAAGTATTTAGTCAGCCACCGACCGAGCCAGTTCTCCCACTTAAAATAATGACAGAGGTCTGTAATTTTCATCATAGGTACACTTCAACTGTGAGAGACAGAAGGTGAAAATAAAAATCCAGGAATTCACATTGTAGGATTTTTAAAGAATTTATTTGTAAATTATTGTGGAAAATAAGTATTTGGTCAATAACAAAAATTCGCCGAGCAACACTGACTTTCAACTCCCTCCACAGATTTTCAATGGGGTTGAGGTTTGGAGACTGGCTAGGCCACTCCAGGACTTTCAAATGCTTCTTACGGAGCCACTCCTTCGTTGCCCGGGCGGTGTGTGTGGGATCATCATCAAAAGTGCTGAGTAGAGTCTTAGCGGGCCGTTTGTTCTCCTCCACTCACAGAACGAGCAGCGAACAGCCTGCGTCCTCTAGCCTCTACAGCGCTGCTTAACACCAGGGTCAGCACTAGATCATATACGGAATCGGGACGGAAGCGGAAGTAAATATAAAAATTTACCTATTTATGCCTAAACTTAACCAGCCATTCCCATAAAATAACCCCAACCCAGCCTTAACCCTAAACTTAACCATCTTACTCAGACGCCTAAAACTTAACCAGTCACCATTTAAGGACTTATTAGTCTAAAACGATTTTGAAAGTAGGATTGTTACTTCCGTTTTCGTCCCGATTCCGTATATGATCTAGTGCCGACCTTAACACCAGGGCTTCGACTTCAAAATTCTAAAATAAAAATAAAATAAAAATAAAAATAAATATATATATATATATATATACACTCGAACAAATATTAGACAACCCTTATAATTCGAAATGTATTTAATGACTGCAAATAAAATAGTTAGCTCCCAAAGGTTTCACAGGGACGTGCTAGGCAGGTAACAGCTAAGCTAGCTAGCTGTTTCATGGTAACTTCCGGGTTTTTTGCGATCGCTTTTTGTCACTTTAAAACAGTAATTTTGTCATGAAAATGTTGACAGCAAATTCTGAAATCGTCCGTGCATGTGTGTTAAGGATGTATATGTATACTGTATTGTCTGATTAACGTTTAACGGTGTTGATTGATTGATATGTATTTGTTTATTGAGCGTGGCTAGCTGCGCTAGCTTCTCTACACAGACAAGTGTGCAGAAAAACTGCACAGTGCAGTGACAGGCGCTGATAGCTTGTTGTACTTGCAAAGTAATGGCAGTATTTTACACACCTGAATTACAAACAGAGATTGCATTGGGGCTGCGGTCATTATTGGTTCGAGAGTTCTGTTATGAAGAAAAAATGATCGGAAGAATTGCATTCAAGTCAATGGAGTGCTGCTGCTGTGAGGAGCTGTATAATAAATTATAATTAAATATTAAGATATTCTAATGTTTTAAATTAATACATTCGGACGCAAAACTAGCAGTATTCTTTTACTTATATATTGTGTTAGCAGTGCATTGCTTTAGTGCCATTTAATCAGTGATTGTTGTACAGCTTACAAGTTGCGCTAATGCTAATGTTAGCATACGTATCAGATCGCAAATAAAACTAGATGGCTCCGTGTTATGAGAGCGTAGGGGAAATGAGAAGCCGCTGAGCGAGTTGGGGGGCGGTGCTAAACATTCAAACATTGCAGAAACGGGTTTAACACGGATCAGTCGTCCTGTGCCCTTAGCAGAAAAACAGCAATACCTACTGTATTGGGATGCAACTCAGTCTTCTTCTTCCTCCAAACACGACGAGTTGAGTTTATACCAAACAGTTCTACTTTGGTTTCATCTGACCACATGACATTCTCCCAATCCTCTGCTGTATCATCCATGTGCTCTCTGGCAAACTTCAGACGGGCCTGGACATGCACTGGCTTCAGCAGGGGGACACGTCTGGCACGGCAGGATTTGATTCCCTGTCGTTGTAGTGTGTTACTGATGGTAACCTTTGTTACTTCGGTCCCAGTTCTCTGCAGGTCATTCACCAGGTCCCCCCGTGTGGTTCTGGGATATTTGATCACCGTTCTAATGATCATTTTGACCCCACGGGATGAGATCTTGCGTAGAGCCCCAGATTGAGGGAGATTATCAGTGGTCTTGTATGTCTTCCATTTTCTGATAATTACTCCCACAGTTGATTTGTTCACACCAAGCTGCTTGCCTATTGTAGATTCACTCTTCCCAGTCTGGTGCAGGTCTATAATTCTTTTCCTGGTGTCCTTCGACAGCTCTTTGGTCTTGGCCATAGTGGAGTTTGGAGTCTGACTGTTTGAGGCTGTGGACAGGTGTCTTTTATACAGATAACCAGTTCAAACCGGTGCCATTAATACAGGTAACGAGTGGAGGACAGAAGAGCTTCTTAAAGAAGAAGTTACAGGTCTGTGAGAGCCAGAGATCTTCCTTGTTTGAAGTGACCAAATACTTATTTTCCAATATAATTTACAAATAAATTCTGTAAAAATCCTACAATGTGAATTCCTGGATTCTTTCACATTCTGTCTCTCACAGTTGAAGTGTTAACCTGGCAAGAGCCAGATTGATGATTGTGTAGAACTCTAACGCGTTCTCCACGATATCAATCTGGGACTTCTGCAGGAGAATCCTTTCGGGGAAAGGAGGGATAAGCAGCAGAATACTTCAAGCTGATTGGGCGAAGTGACGCTGTGTGCCCGCCTACCAAGGTTTGACTTAAAACAATCCCGGTAACATCTTTGCCGTCCAGAAATGCACAAAGCGCCTCTCGCTGTTCATCTTTCAAAAAGGAAATTGGAGATTCTGCTAAAACTGACTTGATAGCCTCAGCTACGCGTCCGTCCTCCTGCGTAGCCATGTTTGTTTTGCTTCGGCCCGGCACTTCTTGCTTTCGTCAAACCCGGATATCCCGCCCTAAACCCCCAGACTGGCGCGTGATTGGCTCGCACACCCAGTGGTTCGACTCGAAAAGTGTAAGCGGGAGCGGTACAAGATGTATTCTCGAGTGTTTGTGAACTCACAAATACCGCGAGAATTCAGCTTGCAGGCAAGGTTATTGAAGTGTACCCATGATGAAAATTACAGACTTCTGTCATTATTTTAAGTGGGAGAACTTGCACAATCGGTGGCTGACTAAATACTTCTTTGCCTCACTGTAGCTGTGACTGGCCTTACTGTTATTCGCCTTCTCTGATAATATCCTGTGTCTAGACATTTCCTTGAACATAATTATAAGGACATTGTTCAAATGTAAAATATATTTTATATCGGATCACTGCTGACGACCACATCATGGACTGTCAACTCACCTTCACCTTTACTTCCAGACCCCTCCCCCCTCTTCCTCCCTCTCATGGGTGTCGCCTCGTCCGATCACATGTGACCTTTCCCCCGGAGAGGCTCAAATATCCAGGCACCCGTCTGAACCCTGTCACCCTGCTCCTCCTGCTCTTCCTGTTCCTCCTCCTGCTCCTGCTGATCCTCCTCTTCCTGCTCCTTTATTTCTGTTTAAATATTTTAAAGGCAGAAAGAGCTGTGTCAGTGATGACATGGTTTAGTTAAATTTAAAAAAAGATTCTTATGTATGTATGTGTGTATGTATTTGTGTATGTATGATGTGCTCTGTCTCTGTGTGACACGTATGTCTTTCGATGTGTGACGTGACAATGACTATATAAACTGTGTACTGCCTTTATTCTGTCTGAGAGAAAGAAACAATGGAAACCACAGGAACTTGAGAGAAACTTACAGTAAATAAACTTCCAGAGTTTGGCGCACCACGATCCGTCTCTGTCTGCCTCATTCCTGACAGTATGTATGTGTGTATATGTATGTATGTATTTGTGTGTGTATGTATTTGTGTATGTATTTCTGTATGTGTGTATGTATGTACGCATGTATGTCTGTGTGTATGTATGTATGCATGTTTGTTTGTATGTAAGCATGGTCCTCTGTCCCTCTGTCTTCATGAAGGGCCCTCAGGCCCTTCGGGCTGGTGTTTGGGGAAACACATACTTTCTCTTCTTCCCCCCACAGTCACAACAGAAGGCTCTCATCAGGGCAAAGTGTGTGACATCACAACACTTCATTAACACTAACCCTCCCACTACCAGAATGGCCTTCTGGGAAATTCCTCCAACAATGAGTTTGTCATTTTTTGTAAAGTAGGTAATTAATAAATTTGTTTTGTTTGTTCTCACTTTTACTCACTAACTGGCGATCTCTGAACTACAACAGGGACAACTTGCTAAATGCTAACTCCTGACGGCTAACGGTGTGTTGCTAATGCTGTGTTGCTAACGCCGTTTTGCTAACTTTTCTTTGGCTCAGCTCAGTCAGTCCAGGGCCAAAACCAGTCAAAAAACAAGAGCTCACAGGGACAGGAGCTCACAGAGACAGAAGCTCACAGGGACAGGAGCGCACAGAGACAGAAGCTCACAGGGACAGGAGCTCACAGGGACAGAAGCTCACAGGGACAGGAGCTCACAGGGACAGGAGCTCACAGGGACAGGAGCTCACAGAGACAGAAGCTCACAGGGACAGGAGCTCACAGAGACAGGAGCTCACAGAGACAGAAGCTCACAGGGACAGGAGCTCACAGGGACAGGAGCGCACAGAGACAGAAGCTCACAGGGACAGGAGCTCACAGGGACAGGAGCTCACAGAGACAGAAGCTCACAGGGACAGGAGCTCACAGAGACAGAGGCTCACAGAGACAGGAGTGCACAGAGACAGAAGCTCACAGGGACAGGAGCGCACAGGGACAGGAGCGCACAGAGACAGAGCTCACAGAGACAGAGGCTCACAGGGACAGGAGCTCACAGGGACAGGAGCGCACAGAGACAGAAGCTCACAGGGACAGGAGCGCACAGAGACAGAAGCTCACAGGGACAGAAGCTCACAGGGACAGGAGCGCACAGGGACAGGAGCGCACAGAGACAGAGGCTCACAGAGACAGGAGTGCACAGAGACAGAAGCTCACAGGGACAGGAGCGCACAGAGACAGAAGCTCACAGGGACAGAGAGCTCACAGGGACAGGAGCGCACAGAGACAGAAGCTCACAGGGACAGAGGCTCACAGGGACAGGAGCTCACAGGGACAGGAGCGCACAGAGACAGAAGCTCACAGGGACAGGAGCGCACAGAGACAGAAGCTCACAGGGACAGAAGCTCACAGGGACAGGAGCGCACAGAGACAGGAGCGCACAGAGACAGAGCTCACAGGGACAGGAGCGCACAGAGACAGGAGCTCACAGGGACAGAAGCTCACAGGGACAGGAGCTCACAGAGACAGAAGCTCACAGGGACAGGAGCGCACAGAGACAGAAGCTCACAGGGACAGAAGCTCACAGAGACAGAAGCTCACAGGGACAGGAGCGCACAGAGACAGAAGCTCACAGAGACAGAAGCGCACAGAGACAGAAGCTCACAGGGACAGAAGCTCACAGGGACAGGAGCGCACAGAGACAGAAGCTCACAGGGACAGGAGCTCACAGGGACAGGAGCGCATGGAGACAGAAGCTCACAGGGACAGGAGCGCACAGGGACAGGAGCTCACAGGGACAGGAGCTCACAGGGACAGAAGCTCACAGGGACAGGAGCGCACAGGGACAGGAGCTCACAGGGACAGGAGCTCACAGAGACAGGAGCTCACAGAGACAGGAGCTCACAGGGACAGAAGCTCACAGGGACAGGAGCTCACAGGGACAGGAGCGCACAGAGACAGAAGCTCACAGGGACAGGAGCGCACAGAGACAGGAGCGCACAGAGACAGAGGCTCACAGGGACAGGAGCGCACAGAGACAGGAGCTCACAGGGACAGGAAGCTCACAGGGACAGGAGCTCACAGAGACAGAAGCTCACAGGGACAGAGGAGCGCACAGAGACAGAAGCTCACAGGGACAGAAGCTCACAGAGACAGAAGCTCACAGGGACAGGAGCGCACAGAGACAGAAGCTCACAGAGACAGAAGCGCACAGAGACAGAAGCTCACAGGGACAGAAGCTCACAGGGACAGGAGCGCACAGAGACAGAAGCTCACAGGGACAGGAGCTCACAGGGACAGGAGCGCATGGAGACAGAAGCTCACAGGGACAGGAGCGCACAGGGACAGGAGCTCACAGGGACAGGAGCTCACAGGGACAGAAGCTCACAGGGACAGGAGCGCACAGGGACAGGAGCTCACAGGGACAGGAGCTCACAGAGACAGGAGCTCACAGAGACAGAAGCTCACAGGGACAGAAGCTCACAGGGACAGGAGCTCACAGGGACAGGAGCGCACAGAGACAGAAGCTCACAGGGACAGGAGCTCACAGGGACAGGAGCTCACAGGGACAGGAGCGCACAGAGACAGAAGCTCACAGGGACAGGAGCGCACAGAGACAGAAGCTCACAGGGACAGGAGCGCACAGAGACAGAAGCTCACAGGGACAGGAGCGCACAGAGACAGAAGCTCACAGAGACAGAAGCGCACAGAGGACAGAAGCTCACAGGGACAGAAGCTCACAGGGACAGAAGCTCACAGGGACAGAAGCTCACAGGGACAGGAGCGCACACAGAGACAGAAGCTCACAGGGACAGGAGCTCACAGAGACAGAAGCTCACAGGGACAGGAGCTCACAGGGACAGGAGCGCACAGAGACAGAAGCTCACAGGGACAGGAGCTCACAGGGACAGGAGCTCACAGGGACAGGAGCTCACAGAGACAGAAGCTCACAGGGACAGGAGCGCACAGAGACAGGAGCTCACAGGGACAGGAGCGCACAGAGACAGAAGCTCACAGGGACAGGAGCTCACAGAGACAGAAGCTCACAGGGACAGGAGCGCACAGGGACAGGAGCTCACGGGGACAGGAGCTCACAGGGACAGGAGCTCACAGGGACAGGAGCTCACAGGGACAGGAGCTCACAGGGACAGGAGCTCACAGGGACAGGAGCTCACAGAGACAGGAGCTCACAGGGACAGGAGCTCACAGGGACAGGAGCTCACAGGGACAGGAGCTCACAGAGACAGAAGCTCACAGGGACAGAAGCTCACAGGGACAGAAGCTCACAGGGACAGGAGTGCACAGGGACAGGAGCGCACAGAGACAGAAGCTCACAGGGACAGGAGCGCACAGTGTGTGACGTTGACAAGATTCAAGATTTTTTATTTGTCAAACCAAGTGAATGGTTTGAAATTATATTTCTCTCATCCTTGATTGTGTAGCGGGGGGTGGGGGAAGAGGGGTGGGAGGGAGGGCAGGGAGTTCAGCTTCTTGATGGCCTTGTGAATGAAACTGTTTTTAAGTCGACTGGAACTGTTCCGTAAATTCTGCAGTCTCCTCCCTGAAGGCATTACCCTGAAGAGCCTGTGTGATGTAGATGTAGTATTATTGTGTGTCTTTAAATCTGATCTTTACGACTGTCACTTTGCTGCTAAATATCTACTGTCCACTTTCTGCACTTGAATACTGCAGTATTTCTTGTTTTGTTTCATGTTTTTATGGCTTTACCTTTTCATTCTTTTAACTTGTTTGCTCCTTGATTCAAAGCAAAGTCCTATTTTGGGAACTACATATTAGAATAAAAATGATTCTGATTCTGATACCCCTCTCACCCCTCACCCCCCACCTCACCCCTCCCTCTCCTGACTGTCCACGCTGCAGCCTCATGGTCAGTGCATGGAGGTGGGAGGTCAGAGGTCAGAGGAGTGATGACACTGAAGAACCAGATAAATACAGCTGCTCACTCTGTGACCTGAACTACCTGCTCTCACCAACAGAGTCTCTCTCCCCAACAGGGTCTCTCTCACCAACAGAGTCTCTCTCAACAACAGAATCTCTCTCACCAATAGAGTCTCTCTCACCAACAAAGTCTCTGTCACCAACAGAGTCTCTCTCACCAACAGGGTCTCTCTCACCAACAGAGTCTCTCTCACCAACAGGGTCTCTCTCACCAACAGAGTCTCTCCCCAACAGGGTCTCTCTCACCAACAGAGTCTCTCTCACCAACAGAGTCTCTCTCACCAACAGGGTCTCTCTCACCAACAGAGTCTCTCTCACCAACAGGGTCTCTCTCACCAACAGAGTCTCTCTCACCAACAGAGTCTCTCTCACCAACAGGGTCTCTCTCACCAACAGAGTCTCTCTCACCAACAGAGTCTCTCTCACCAACAGGGTCTGTCTCACCAACAGTCTCTCACCAACAGGGTCTCTCTCACCAACAGTCTCTCACCAACAGGGTCTCTCTCACCAACAGGGTCTCTCACCAACAGGGTCTCTCTCACAGAAACAGTCTCTCACCAACAGGGTCTCTCACCAACAGGGTCTCTCTCACCAACAGGGTGTCTCTCTCCAACAGGGTGTCTCTCACAGACAGGGTCTCTCACCAACAGATAACCAGATAAATACAGCTGCTCACTGTGTGACCTGAACTACCTGCTCTCACCAACAGAGTCTCTCTCCCCAACAGAGTCTCTCTCAACAACAGAGTCTCTCTCACCAACAGAGTCTCTCTCACCAACAGAGTCTCTCTCACCAACAGTCTCTCTCCCCAACAGAGTTTCTCTCACCAACAGGGTCTCTCTCACCAACAGGGTCTCTCTCACCAACAGGGTCTCTCTCACCAACAGAGTCTCTCTCACCGACAGGGTCTCTCTTACCAACAGGGTCTCTCTCTCTCAGTAACAGTCTCTCTCTCTCAGTAACAGAGTTACTGTATCTAGGTCCAGTGACAGATGAAGAAGTGTTTCAGAGAAATGTCAGTGTTGCAGCGGCAGGTGCAGAGGAGGACTCTCTGTACTTTTACATTAAAATAAAATAAAATATTTATCTTTCAGTTAATAATAAATACTGCACAAATATGAAGCTTAAGTGTAAGTCCAGACCTGCTCTGATCATCAGCCTCGGCTGCAGAGCCTCTCACTTCTCTGTTCGAGCAGCAACCCTCCTCCTCCCCATCAGGCCCTCAGTGCAGTATCATTTGTCGGGCTCAGCTTCCTTCTCCTTCAGGCTCCAGAGGTTTCTCATAATGTCCATGAACCTCCTGCAGACGTCAGCAGTGTCCCTGCCAGGGTCTAATCTCCAAAGTTTAATGAACGCTTCAGGTTCAAATGTAATGAATACATTAGTCATATATACATTATTAATAAATATATTAGTAATAAATACATTATTAATATGTATTTTAGCCCACCACGACCCATGTCATCTGCTCCCACTGATGTCTGCTGTTGTTGTGTCCCGGGGCAAGACACTTAACCCCACATTCTCTGAAGCCCCCACTGAAAGACCAAGGCCATCTAGTCGAGGATAGAGAAGCCATCTTCATGTGGACCCACCACCTGCAGGAGGATCAGTGAGGGACTTGGGTGGCACCCCCCCGACCCAGAAATAGATTAAGGGGAAGAAAATGACACGACATGACATATTAGTAATAAATACATTAGTAATATATACATTATTAATAAATATTAGTAATTTACGCATTAGTAATTTATACAATAGTAATTTATACATTAGTAATAAATAGATTAGTAATGAATACAGTGGAGGTAAAAAGGCCTAAACTCTGAGGTGCAAATGTAACAGCTGATCACACTATTATGATGTCACAGTATATTAGTGTGACATCACAGTATTCTGCTGCTTTATGGTATAATACCGTGATTTTGCACTTAACATGTTGCACATTTCATTCTTTTGCACAATCTTGAGTGTTTCTATCCATGCCAGATGTGACATGTACATTTCTCCAGTGTGAGATCATTAAAGTCTATCTTATCTTATCTTAACTTATCTTACATCTCAGTATCACACAGTGGAAGAAGCATGAGGGCTGCGACGGTGACCTGTGACATGTGCTTCTTTATTTTGAACTGATGCTCGACATGTGAGGTCAGGTTTGCAGTGTTTGTTAATCCTCATTGTTCATCGTACAGCCTGACAGCAGCAGGGTGGACAGACCTGTGGAACGTCTCCTTCATACGTTTAAACGTCTCACCTAAGCTTAAACGTTAAGAAAACCGTCGCTGTCTGTTTCTCAATTAAAACAAGACCTTCTAACAGCGCCTTTGAAGTACGCATAAACAATGAAATTATACAAGAAGTAAAAGAGACCACATATCTTGGAATTATCCTTGACAACAACCTTAAATTTCAAAGTCAAGTCAAAAATGTGTGTAAAAAGGTCAAATCCAACTTGAATTGTTTTCGTTTTATCAGGAGGGATCTGTCCTATCAGGCCGCCCTGTTATACATGCATGCCATGATTTTTTCACATCTGTCCTACTGCGTCACATCCTGGTCACAAACCTCCCCGTCCACACTCAAGCCGGTTGTTTCATTGTACAAACAGGCAGTCAAGGTATTTGACAGAAAACCTATGAGATGGCATCACTGTGACATCATCCATAGACATAATCTTTTTACTTTCGAAAACTTTATACATTTTAGTATTCTGAAATTGGTTTTTAAATGTTTGAACAGTCGTGTGTCGCCGCTGTTTTCCGCTCTCATTATTCGGCGTCAGGACTCCCGCAGACCCTCCACCAGAGCCTCGGTGAGTGGGGACTGTGTTCTCCCAAAATTTACAAAATCTTTTGGACAGTCCAGTTTCTCTTTTAATGGATCCAGACTGTGGAACTCTCTGCCCACTGATTTAAAACTGCAGACTGACATGAACAGTTTTTACAGAGGTCTGAAACAATGGCTGAAGTCAAGTCAAAACTGCTCACATGGTAACACTGTATGAAATGTATACTGATGATGTGTAATTGTGTATTGTTTACCTTTTTAAATATTGTACTGTATTGTATTGTGTTTTTTGAAATGTGTAGCCTCCTATGGACAGGTGTTGCAAATTAGCAGTTTTGCTATAACACTGCAAACAATGTATCTGGTTTGTCCAATGCAGTTGATATGTCCATATCAAATAAACTAATAATAATAATACAGAGGGTGGATCAGTCTGTCACTGCAGCTGCTCGATCAGTGACCAATGTAAACAAACTGAGGTTCAGATGAGTCCATAAACAACATACCTGAATGATTTCTATTTACGACCTGAGAACGTGTTCACAGTCCTCAGAGCGGGAGGGCTGGACTCATGGGGGGTTCTTTTTAACTTTCCCTTACGGTCCTTGTCGACTATCGGTCTCGTGCCAGTATTTAGCCTTAGATGGAGTTTACCACCCTCTTTGTGCTGCATTCCCAAACAACCCGACTCCGACTTAAGCACGGAGATTTCACATATGTACAGATAAAGTGAAAATAACTTTGTTTAAAGCCTACTGCACACCTTGGGCAAGTTTATAAAGCTCGTCTAAGCATTCGATCCTTGTAAGTAGCACAAGCTGCGTGTAGCTCTTTAGTCAGTCGGTTGTGTTTACATCTAAAACCACAAGAAAAAAAATGCATTGCTTTTTTGTTACATGAAAAAATCTTTACCTTAACTTCTAAATGTCTGAAATTGGTGATTTTTGTAGCGATTAAAACAATCGATGGGCTGGAAAAAAGAGAGACAGATCACGCTCGCAACAGGTAATCTTAATAGGAGAATACTACCCACAATGCCGTGCGGTCGAGCCGGAAGCTCAGAACTCTTGATCCTTGTATGATGTATACTGTTCCATGTTGACAGTGTCTGATTTTCGGGTTATGTAAAGACACAGGCTGTAGATTCAGATTATTATCCATTTGCAGTAAAACCACATTGGAATACACGTGCAAGAGTCCCCAGTGGGCACCAGACACAAAGTACAGGAATAAAACAAGCTGAAAGCACAGAAACAATTACAGATCTCATAGCAATCGATCGACAAAAACAGATGCTCATCAGTGAATAAACATTTATAAACTACATTTATCAGTGTTTTAGGCTCATTTTAAATATAAGACTAGACGACTGTTGTCAGAGGACTTTCTACTGTAGTGATCAGGACTGGACAGATCCTCCAGGAGCTGATCCTCTGGACTACAACTAATCCAATTACATGGCAGACAGAGACCAGACAAAGACCAGAGAGAGACCAGAGAGACACCAGGGAGAGAGACCAGAGAGAGACCAGGGAGAGAGACCAGAGAGACACCAGGGAGAGATCAGAGCGACACCAGGGAGAGAGACCAGAGAGAGATCAGACAGAGACC